TCAAAGATAGTTACTCTACAAATCATTGTATAAAGCATAGATAAGAAAACCACCCCGAATAAGCCTTATGCACGATTCCCTTTAGCATATGGGAACCTGTTTCTTTGAGACAGTCAACGTAATTTTGCATCAAAATGCAACATAAAAAATCAAGCAAATCCACTCATATAGCTGTATAACATGTTATTCATTCAACTCAGTCGTAATTGTTCTATGGAGGCAAGTTGCTACGGAGATAAGTTCCACTCGATTAGTTTCTTCCTACGAAACGCTCTTTTCCAAGCAGATGAATCCCTAATCACTACATGTGAGTGGCTCTTGGGCCTTGCTTTGATTGACGATCATTGTAAAAATGAGTAAAAAATACGCTATGCCAGCATTGCATTTGGTAGACATGCTCTGTCAGTCATCTATAGATGTGGAATAAGCTTAATTATTACATGGCCTCCCATTGGGCCTAGTATGGTAGGTGTGATGATGATTATAAGCTTATAAGGGAAAATAATATTATTATAATATTTTGGATTTTATATTTATAACTGTTGTGGTAGGATCCACCTAATTTGCATAGTGGAGTACCGACCATATAAATATGGTTGGTACCGGGAAGAGAGGGAGGAATCAAGAGATTCAACCAGAGATCTGACCGACTGCGACTCAGTCAACACATTCTCCAGGAACGGTCTTACCAGGAATATACAAAAGACTATATGTAAATATTGTGTACACTTTCTTGTTTCAATGCATTTTTTTCTAAGTACATTTTGTGTTGCATTATTATTCCATGCATTAGTCAAGTTTCAACAATAACGTTTCGAAGTTCCCATAACTGTAGAAGCGATTTATCTTCGTCATTTGAATAAAATATTTTGTTCAAAATTGTCATAATGATATCGAATACAATAGATCTCCGGGGACAACCGCAGGACAAAACGGTAGAAACATGGAGAGATTACCAATCAGGATTGACAGGTTAGTTCGTGTAAGCAGGTTTAGAATAATAAATAAAGGCTACGTTTCAAATTGAGATACACTGAAAAAGCTTATGGCTTTAAGATTTTATTGTTTTCGGGTTGATTCTGTTTAATTATATGACATTAGTTAAATATTACATTTTTTATGAACGGGGAGATTTTCTAAGGCATTGAAAGTAAATTTACAGTGAGGGATTTTGAAAAGCTCAAAAATGGAGTATTGCTGCCATATAAGGACAGGAGCCAAATAATCTTTAAAGTTTCGATGGAATTCAAAAGCATCTACGGCTCGTTGTAGATGACGGATTATTTCCATACTGCATTAATTAGACCTCGTCTTATTAACAAATATATTGATTCTTACCAGGTAATCAAATAAAAATTTAAATGTAAATCTAAATAAGTCTTTAAGTACTTATATTCTTACTAAATTGTTCAAAGAAAACTAGTAGAGACTTCACATGAAAAATTGGTATCTGTAGAAAATGTCTCCTGATGTAATCATGTATCTGTAGAAAATATCTCCTGAGGTGATCATGTATCTGTAGAAAATGTCTCCCGATGTAATCATACATCTGTAGAAAATGTCTCCGGATGTAATCATGCATCTGTAGAAAATGTCTCCTGAAAAATGCAGTTATTTATAAGAAAAGATGCAAATAATGAATGCATGTTTCCACAACTCTAATATTACTCCTTCATAAACAGTCTATGATTTTTTTCAAAAACCCACGAAGCTATTTATCTATCTATTCACAGTCTGTTCATAATTTCTTCAAATCTATAACAGTTTATTCCTATCTGTCTGTCTATCTATATCGATCCAACCATTATAGTTTGTTCTTATCTATCATAGTTTGTTCATATCTATATATCGATCTATTTATGTGTCAGTATATCTCTCTATTTATCTAAAATTTTACATAATTACGCTCAGATCTATCTATTGCTAGTAGATGAATTAAAAAGCTCATAGCATTTTAAGTAAATCTATCTATCTACATATCCATATATATATATATATATATATATATATATATATATATATATATATATATTCAAGTATAGGATTGGTGTATACGCAATAAATTCCAATAACCAACAATTACTATTTTTAAAAGAGTGCTCAATACAGAGTAGAACAAATATATTTATTTATTTAAAAAATATAACATAAATATGTTAAAAAATCACTACAAAAAGAGCCAATTTGTTTTTAAACCTCTGGTGTCTTTTCAAGTGATAATTATATATCTATATATCTATCTATCTATCTATCTATCTATCTATCTATCTATCTCTCTCTCTCTCTCTCTATATATATATATATATATATATATATATATATGTTCATCTAAAATATGTTAATTACTACTCATCATATTTTGTTAATATCTATCTATCTATCTATCTATCTATCTATCTATCTATCTATCTATCTAACGCTGTTCCTATCTATCTGTAGCTCGCCGATAATGAAGGCCAGATATCCGTAGCTTATTAACTGAATTTAAAAAGAAAAAAAAAACAAACAAATTTACTTATTTTTATGACGCTATTCAACGACATACGTTCAATTTTTCTCCTACATTTTTTTTACTTATCTCTGTGAGTGCTTCATGCTTCCATCTTCCCGAATTTGGTCTCTCTCTCTCTCTCTCTCTCTCTATCTATCTATCTATCTATCTCTCTCTCGATAATGAACTTGTTTAAGGGATTTTGAAAGAGTTCGAGAAAATTCAAGGACTTACCTTTATGACAAATCTGTATGGATCGAAATTATTCAGCAGTTTGATAGGTCCTGATCTGGGATACCTTCTGCAGTCACATTTTCAGAGACGTCATGTGGCTTCTCTCTGTCATTTCTACAAATATTTTCATGGGGGCTGCTCTGACTAGCTACTTTCACTGGTACCCCAACTGTATGAATTTAAACGTGCTACTAGTTTGGCAACTCGGTCCCACCCTTTCACTTTCGAAATAGTTTAATGTAACAGCCTATCCTTCTCCAACAACTTCATTTCTCGCACTTGAAACTCCCTTAATCTTACTTGCGTCCCTGATTGATATAATCTTCAAAAAATTCAAATATAATGTCAATAAACATCATTTGATGCCTTGATCACCGTCTTTCTCTATATCTTTTCTTGAAGCAGCCATCTTTTCTCTTACTCTCACTCTAAGTAACCCCTTGCGTGCTAGTGGCACTCCTGTCTTGCTTTAAGAGAAAAGCTTAAAAAATCACAAAGTGCATATTCAAGTGAGTAATTCTCACCTATTTTTCGTTCAGTTTCCACGAGACAATCGCCTGTTTGATGAGGACGTTTGTTCTTGAATTTGGCGTCATGATATATTTGAGTTCAATCTTTAGGTTGGGTAATGTAAACTTAGACGCAGTGAAACCAGGGCTAATATTAATTAAAGAGGACCACATATGATCAGGAGAATATATCTATTGATGCAGCAAAATGTAAAGAAACCGCGCCTATTAAATAAGAATTTCAGTTCAACACATCCACCGGGATTAACGTAATCTATAAAACAATAAAGAAAAACAATCATTGAAACGTCCTGGTAACAGAAAATAAGATGAAGTTTGGTTTGGTTTGATTTACGGCCTATCAACCTGAATGGGTTATTTAATACCGACAATATTTTTTATTGCTGGTAATATTTTTTTTTTAAAATGTATTGCTGCTAATATGTTGAAATCCGGTACCAATAAATAACAAACGCCAAGAATGAATGTATGAAAATAATGTATTTACTACTGTACTGTACTGATGCGGCATTCACCTTGGGCGGATTGAGCCGGATTCTTCCTGTTATGAGAAGAAGATTCTTGGGATAAATTACAGAAGTAGGGTACCCAGGCCTACTCGGATAACGTTCTTGCTTGCCGCGGGGTTCCCACAGACGCAGAGACAGGAACGACCAGAAGCCGCCGGTTACCGATGCAGACGCTCCTTGGATTTTCACCAGAGCCCTTGTTGTATTTACGTAATAATACAAACTGGTAAAGCAGGTTAGTATTTCCAAGAATACGGGTTAGTAGTAAAATATATATATACAGTCTTTCGCATTGAAGTATCGCTGTATGACTTCTTACTGAGTCTACGTGTTCGCTCACTCTGACTCCTACAACGCTGTTACCTCACCCCTCACTCTTCCGGTTACCTACAACTTTTTATTCTGTCACTCTGGACTCGACTCCACACCGGACTCTTCTCCTCGGGTATTCACTGGCAGTAGTATAAGTATACACTGGTTGAGTCCATTTGTATAAAAAGGAGTGGACCCCTAAACAATTTTTTTTCTTTTTAAAATTTTATTGCTGGTAAATGTTTTCAAAAATGTATTGCTGGTAATAAGTTTTGCCAAACGTATAATGCTGGTATTAAAACCTATTCTTACACTTTCATAATGTTTCACTCCTGTTTGAGGGTTAAATGTTTGCCTATAGCTGGGATCCTACGAAGTGCTACTACCTCGGGCCATAGTGAACCAGGGAACCCCAGCAATTAAGAGGTGTTTCTACGCTCCTCAAAAAATCCTGATCAGAGGCCTTTCTGTCGGATGTAGTTTATTGTCATACCCAGGTCGTCTAAGATAAGGACAACAGTCGAAGTGCAAATAATATAAACAGTGCCAATTTTTCATCGCAGAAATTCTAAAAGAATAAAAGTATTTTGTATAAAAAAAGAAAATTTCGATATTTAAACATTTACTTAAAGATGGATTTTTATTGATTGGTTCGTTTTCAATGGCTTAGTCACCCTTTGTATGTTATTTAAAGCTACCAAATAGTTTGAGAGTGGAATAATTGTTTGTTTTTGTTTTTTTGGATAAGAACGACTTAGAAATATAATTCATTTTGATAATTAGCAGAGAAAGAAGAGATGTATTCAGAACTTTCTCAAGAGTATTTCCCCGTAAGTGAATATAATGAACCAAACTTCAATTGGAAAACGGCCCTCCGATTTATAATCAGTAATCATTATCTATTACACCAGCCTCACATGGAAGCTTACAGCACCTTGTATTTCCAAGCAGTCACCTATTTCGGTACTGCCCAAGCTCGACGTTGCTTAACTTCGGGGATTTTCCGGGAACCGGTATCTCAACGTGATGTGCCCGTACGACATGCATTTTTTTTAGATATTACGAATGATTTGAAAATATTAATAACATTTGACATTCCTATCATTAACTACGTTTTTGAAAACTTTAAGATCTTTGGAAAACGTTGACTTAGAAGGACTGGATATCCGAAGAATAACTGAAGCCATCTTGTCTATTAAATGTTTAAAATCAGATAGGCAGGTGAAGGAGAATATTTAAGCAATGAAGAAATGTGTTGTCACTTGATCTCTATCTATAAAACGCAAGATGTGTGTGTGTGTGTGCATGCGTGTGTGTAACAAATGCCGCAATTTTCGACGGATTTGCACCAAAATTTACATGAACATGCTCCAAGTTAGCGGTTTGCATTTCCCAACTCCCATCGACAGTGGAAATAATCGATTTTTTCATGCTTCTACGGCAGTTTTCATGTAGTTTGCGGCCGTTTTTACAACTGGCTGCCACGAATAGGCAGGAAGTTTCTATTGGCCAGCGTGAGAGCCAACAGCTGACTGATACGAATGTTAACTAGCATGCAAGTATGCAAAAAGAAAATCGATAGCTGTATTCGTCACAAGTGGGAAAAAATTATATCTGCATGGCACTTGACTCCAATTGGCTACTCGCTTGCTTAAACTCAACGTTGATTGTGATTCCGCAGAATTGGGTTGAGTGTGAAAAAGTATTTGTTAACATTCTTTTTTCATTCGATTTTTCCAGTTATGAGTCCATGTTTGAAGCTGATCGTTTTGTGTTCAATTTTTCTAGTTCTTTTTTCGTAACAGATTTAATGTTTAGTTTAAAGCTTAGAAAAAAATCCGCAATGTGAGATAGGCAAGAAGTAAGGCATGTAGCAACATCAGCACGGCAAAGGGCACTACTTTAAAGGCAAGGAAGGGCAAAAATATTTCAAGTCAAGTGATAGCGATTGCTGTATGAGTCGTACGATTTTTTAATCATGCACGGGCAACGCCGGGCCATGTTGTTAGTCTCCCCTAAAGTAAACAAGAACACTTCGGAGGGTGCCGAAGTATTTTGTTAGTCACTTCACCGGAAGAAAGTGATAATGTCACTAAGACGCAAGGGGTAGAGCGAGTGAAAGTGAATGAGAAGTTTTAGAAGGAACCGGAAACCCCAAGTAACAAGGAATAAACCTCTACTCCTGTTCAAAAGGCAGGGAGGAGTGTGAAGCCGACAATACGTAAATATATCTACTCTTAGGAGAAATTAGTTGTCACTTGTTCTACATCGAACTCCGGCAAGTACTGCTACTGTGAACCCAAGAATTCCGAAAAGAAATATCAATCGTGAAACTATAACCTTGAGTGACATTAAAACATAGCAGACTGAAAAAAATTCTTTTTAATTTTCCCTTTACCGACATGTTTTTTTCGGAAAAATCGATTCTTTCTGACACTTTCTTGATGTTTGTTTTCATTCTCATTTTCCTAAGAAGCAGATTTCTTTCTTTTTCATCTTTAATTATTCACCAAATGATTCCTGGGCCCTTATGCTGTTTAACGCCCTCACTTCCGTCCTGGGATCAAAGTATAAAGAATTAATCGCCATAATTTTCAAATATAACAGGGAACAATTTAGCCTTGGTCGCCTTAACTGCCCGAAAATAATTAAGACGCTAATATAATTAAGAATAGAATACAAGAAGAAAACGAAAAAAAAATCTTTTACTTTATTACAATGGTTGGTTTGACCCGCTGATTTGAATAAGTGACTTCATTAAGACCAGATACTGAATGGATCAATTCAGTGTCTTGAACATTAGTTCAGTTGCTGCCTCCGTCGTGTCAGGATGTCAGTATTAAAAAAAAATGTAATCTCTTCCTAACTGCTATGAGAAAAAGAATGTCCCGTGATCTCTGAACATTGATTCTTCCAACAGCCTCATTCAAACGATTTCTTTTAAATCATCGGGAGCAAGAAAAGGCAAAATGATTTTTGAAGATTCTAAAAGAACAACAGAGATTTTTTTTTTCCTTTCATTTAAATATTTTAGATTTGGTATTTTTATGGTATTATTTTATTAATAGATTTAAAGCAACTTAATATTATTTTTCATTATGTGCATTCAATACAAGACTCAGGAGCTACTCAAAATAGAGAGATGACGAATCATGAGTATGAACTGAACGTAAGAGGAAGATGAAGACTTGAGGATATGGAGGATAAAAAATGATTGACGTGAAGAGGTTAAATATGTAGTGTTCAGGAAGGAAAATTCCTGTTTTTTTTTTGTTAAAAAATGGACGATTTAATTAGATACTAAAATTACATTTATTAAATAATATTGAAATATAAAACATGTTTCCATACAGGCAGATAATAACTAAAATACATGATGTAGGCACACGGACAGAAAATAAAAGTTATATGCATATGAACAGATAATAAATAAATAAATAAAAGATGTATAGATATGGACAGATAATAACTAACATAAATGATCTATGTATATGTACAAATAATAACGAAAATAAACGATGATTGCATATGGACAGATAACGAAAATAAAAGATGTATGCATACGAAAAATAAAAGATGCATATGGATAACGAAAATAAAAGATGTATGCATATGGACAGATAATAACGAAAATAAAAGATGTATGCATATGGACAGATAATAACGAAAATAAACGATGTATGCATATGGACAGATAATAACGAAAATAAAAGATGTATGCATATGGACAGATAATAACGAAAATAAAAGATGTATGCATATGGACAGATAATAAAAGAAAATGGACAGAAATTGAAAATAAAAAAGATATGCATATGGACAGATAATTACGAAAATAAAAGATGTATGCATATGGACAGATAATAACGAAAATAAAAGATGTATGCATATGGGCAGATAATAACGAAAATAAAAGATGTATGCATATGGACAGATAATGACGAAAATAAAAGATGTATGCATATGGGCAGATAATGACGAAAATAAAAGATGTATGCATATGGACAGATAATAACGAAAATAAAAAGATGTATGCATATGGACAGATAATTACGAAAATAAAAGATGTATGCATATGGACAGATAATTACGAAAATAAAAAGATGTATGCATATGGGATAATAACGAAAATAAAAAAATGTATGCATATGGAAAATAACGAAAAAAAAGATGTATGCATATGGACAGATAATAACGAAAATAAAAGATGTATGCATATGGACAGATAATAACGAAAATAAAAGATGTACATATGGACGAATAATTACGAAAATAAAAGATGTATGCATATGGACAGATAATAACGAAAATAAAAATGTATGCATATGGACAGATAATAACGAAAATAAAAGATGTATGCATATGGACAGATAATAACGAAAATAAAAGATGTATGCATAATGGAAAGATAATAACGAAAATAAAAGATGTATGCATATGGACAGATAATGACGAAAATAAACGATGTATGCATATGGACAGATAATGTGAAAAAAAAAGATGTATGCATATGGACAGATAATGACGAAAATAAAAGATGTATGCATATGGACAGATAATAAAATAAACGAAAATAACGAAAAAAAAGATGTATGCATATGGACAGATAATAACGAAAATAAAAATGTATGCATATGGACAGATAATAACGAAAATAAAAGATGTATGCATATGGACAGATAATAACGAAAAAATAAAAATGTATGCATATGGACAGATAATTGAAAATAAAAGATGTATGCATATGGACAGATAATAACGAAAATAAAAATGTATGCATATGGACAGATAATGAAAAAATAAAATGTATATGGACATGATAATAATAACGAAAATAAAAGATGTGCATATGGACATATGGATGTATGCATATGGACAGATAATAACGAAAATAAAAGATGTAAACATATGGACAGATAATAACGAAAATAAAAGATGTATGCATATGGACGAATAACAATAACGAAAATAAAAGATGTATGCATATGGACAGATAACGAAAAAAAAAAATAAAATAATGTATGCATATGGACAGATAATGGAATAACGAAAATAAAAGATGTATGCATATGGACAGATAATGACGAAAATAAAATGTATGCATATGGAAATAATAACGAAAATAAAAAATGTATATTATGGACAGATTGGAAAATAAAAGATGTATGCATATGGACAGATAATTACGAAAATAAAACCAATGCATATGGATGATAAAACATGTATGCATATGGACAGTACGAAATAAAAGATGTATGCATATGGACAGATAATTACGAAAATAAAAGATTTATGGACAGATATAAAAATAAAAGATGTATGCATATGGACAGAATAACGAAAAATAAAAAGATGTATGCATATGGACAGATAATGCGAAAATTCTGCATATGGACAGATAATTACGAAAATAAAAGATGTATTTATGGACAGATAATACGAAAATGTGTATAATTTAAATGGAATAATGACGAAAAATAAAAGATGTATGCATATGGACAGATAATGACGAAAAATGATGTATGCATATGGACAGATTAAAAAAATAAAAAGATGTATGCATATAAATAAATAATAACGAAAATTTATGCATATGAAAATAAAATATTGCATATGGACAGATAAAAAAAAATTTATGCATATGGACAGATAATAACGAAAATAAAAAGATGTATGCATATGGATCGATAATTACGAAAATAAAATGTTTATGCAGATATGGACAAATTGCATATGGACAGACAATAATGAAAAAAGATGTATGCATATGGATTAATAATAACGAAAATAAAAATATGCATATGGACAGATATTTTCGAAAATTTTGACGAAAATAAACATGTATGCATATGGACGATAATGGAAAATAAAAAATAAAAAGATGTATGCATATATGGACAATAACAGAAAATAAAAAGATTTTGCATATGGACAGATGGACAGATAACGAAAATAAAAGATGTATGCATATGGACAGATAATGAAAATAAAAATAAACGATGGACAGACAATAACGAAAATATGGACAGA